AAAACTATCCCAGAATTCTTAATTATCCAATACAGTGAACCTATGTCATTGATTTAGATGTATATCACATTAGCTTTTCTTTTATACAACTTAGCAATCGTCACTGATTTGGTACATGGTTTGAGGAAACGATAAGTTATATGCATTTTATAATCACATCGTTGAAAAGTGTTATATGCATTTTAGAAAATAGTAGTTACCTTATGTTTAAATGATACCACAAATCATCTGGATACTCTTGATATTAAAACAACTTGATCGCAACATCATGTATACATAAAGTGACGTTTTATTTTCTTTTTCTATATGTTTCTTAAATAATATAAAAGCATCTGTGTAACACTTTTAAGCATACTCAATCCTATAAGAGGGCAAAACTAGTAATGACATATTAGTGAGGGTGTAGAATAATAATTTTTTATTTTTTACTTTTCTTATACTAGATTTTCCTTTTAAAGTACAATGAACCTGGGCATCAAGGAGATAAACACACACAAGATTTCTATCCTATCATTTACACCAACGAAAAGGTGATTCTAAATCCATTTTAAGGTCTCTTTCTTCGAAATCTTCAGAATCGACTAGTCTTTGAATCTTACCACTAATTTTATTGGTATCAATATTATCCTTCTTGAGAAAAGAAACAACATAATATCTTGTAATGTATCTTTTTTTTTTTTAAAGCAATGCATCAATCAAATGTATAAGATTTTTTTAATTCAAATTAAAAGTTCTCAATCTCTGTAATCAAACAATGATTTAGTAATTAATCTATCAGTTCTTTGCAAGGAACAAAAATATTCATCATAAAAAAGCAATCGATTTATTGGTTTGTTGGTTCGCCTCTCGCTCTCTCTTTCTTTCTCTCTCTCTCTCTCTCTCTCTCTCTCTCTCTCTATATATATATATATATATATATATATATATATATATATATATATATATATATGGTAAACCGAAAAATCCGAACGGTTCATTCAACTCGTCTCAAGGTCGAAATCAGAGATTAATCGTGAAACACTAATAATATTTTGGATGTGCTAGAGTTTGAACACGTACATCTTGTATAAAATTTCATTTATCAACCGCTACAAAATCATCTCATGTCTATAAATATGTGTAATTGTAACATGCTACCGACATAGGGGTATTGATGTGGAGTCGATCATCTTGGTATTCCTACATGGGAGAGATTATCACATAGGGGTATTGATGTGGAGTTGATCCTCTGTCCAGTTTGCCGCGATACCGTGGAGACGATTGACCACATTTTCGTTGGGTGTATGAAGCTAAATGATATTTGGAGACACATTTCTATTTGGTGGAATGTGCAATTGTGTGATCACTTGACCATTCATTCTCTTTGTTCTTGGGCTTATTTGATTAAAATGAAGGCTGGCCAACGCAAGGTTTTGGATGCGGTTATTTTTACGACTTTATGGTGTTTGTGAATTTTTCGTAATTTCATAGTTTTTGGAATGACTAATCGTAGGAAATCCATTCTTTTTGATGATATTATTGATAGATCGTTTTTTTAGATTTCTAATAGAAGTAGTAAATCTAAGTTAGGTTGGACCCCTGACTCCATAATTCAGTTTTAGCTTCTATTATGTTGTAGTGAATTCTTTCTAGCTCCATGTTAATTTTTATTTTATTAATTTTCTATCGTTAAAAAAAAGGTAAACGATGGCTATCGGAAATTTGATTTTATTATAGCCAAATGTGATTTTATTATTGTTTTTTACAATGAAGAAAAAACCAAGGTTCTAAAAAACTCGTCATGGCTCCGTTATAGCGCGCCACGACTCCAAGGTTTGCATCTGCTGTCAACGTTTGCTAAAATGTCATCTTAACTCATATATGTGTCTAAAAATAAATAATAATTGAAAATACATATAAAAATATTAATTATATAGAAATTATCACCTTAAGTCACGCCTTACAAACGTCATGACTCGTCAAGATTCGGAAAAACTTGAGGCTTGATATTACTGCCAAGTCACGCATTACATTATTTATAACCTTGAGAAAAACATTAATAATAATTGTTAACAACTTTTCCATATAAAAAAAAACATAAAATATAAAAATTTTACCGTGTTTCTTTTTCCTAAAAATAAACTCTGAAACTAAAAGAACACAATAGCAAATATTTATTATAAAGATAAAAGAAAAAAAAGTACATTTTATTATGTCATCACACATATGCTTAGGGGCCCGGAAAAAGAAAAGGTTCATGGGCAATAATAGAACACCCGATTCATGTTTTCCTTTTCGTTCTACAAATAAAATCTATACGGTTTACAAAGAAAATTAAATGAGTAATCCGTGTATTTTAAGTATCTATGATAGAAGTGTTTTTAGGAGTCTTTTCACCATTAAACTTTTAGAATTATAAAAGCTGCAACTATAAGACCAATGATATTGAGCGGGAAAGGAGATGGAGAAAGAAATTGCACCTCCGAACATTATGCGGGAAAATGGTGAGGAAAGTAGGGCTGATAATTTTCGATACGACCCGTGACACGATACGAAATAAATAGGTTTGGGTTGAGTTTTTCAACCCACTAACTCGCCAACCCGCCAACCCGTTTATTAAACGGGTCATATATGAGTTTCTCAAAAACTAAACGGGTTGATCCGCCAACCCGTTTATATACTCAATAAAAAAAATTATTTTATTTTTAAATGTATTTATATATTAAGTATTAATATTTAATAAGTATTATATAATATATACCATTGATTCATAGACCATTTCACTATTTTGACATTTTGACTCGTAGTGGATGGTCTAAAGTCGTAAGTCGTAACTTCTAAGGCTAAGTCTGTAACATGTTTCTATAAATGTTTTTGATTTTCATTTGGATGTTTAAGACTTAAATGTCTAAAATTTGGACCCACGAACCCAAATTTAATCCACGAACCCGCCAACCCGTAAACCCGTATAAATACATTGGTTGGCGGGTTATATATGGGTTTATGTTCCAAACCCGCCAACCCGTGACCTGTATATTTAAATGGGTCGTGTTTGGGTTGGCATATTTTGACCCGCCAACCCGCGACACGCCAACCCGAACACGACACGATTGCCAGACCTAGAGGAAAGATTATCAATCCCTCTCTGTTTGTGTGATTGGTCACCTTTTAAAATGTTTCTATAAATGTTTTTGATTTTCATTTGGATGTTTAAGACTTAAATGTCTAAAATTTGGACCCACGAACCCAAATCTAATCCATGAACCCGCCAACCTGTGAACCCGTATAAATAAATTGGTTGGCGAGTCATATATGGGTTTATGTTCCAAACCCGCCTACCCGTGACCCGTATATTTAAATGGGTCGTGTTTGGGTTGGCATATTTTGACCCGCCAACCCGCCAACCGGCGACACGCCAACCCGAACACGACACGATTGCCAGACCTAGAGGAAAAATTATCAATCCCTCTCTATTTGTGTGATTGGTCACCTTTTAAAAAAGAGTAATGCTTTTGATATTTATTAAATTACATATATTGTAAAAAATTATAATAAAATATATATTAAAATTCATGGTTTTTAACTCTCTATAAAACTAGTATTATTATAAAAAATATTTTTTTAAAATAAAAATAAAATAAAATAATAAAATGTAACAATTTTTTCTTTTTTGGTGAGTAAAAAAAAACAAAAAAAAACTGACCTAACATTTAAAAAATAAAAGATGACTCTTGACCATACCCTCTAGTCTAGAAGTGCTTTTATTATTTTTTTTTTTTTCAAACCATTAAACTTTTAGAATTATAAAAGTTATTCTTTAAGCTTTTTGGAGGAGCATGTAAACTTACAAAGTTTATACGCCTTTTTAAAAAAAATTATCTAATCATTATAGAGGTCTCATTAGCTTTTAACTAATTATAAATAAATAATTTGTATAAATAGTAATAAAACAATAAATAAATATATAAAATTAGTGACTCCCTTATAAGTTTTTCTTACTCTTGGGTCATCGGATAAGTATGACATGCAAACGAAAAGTATGACATGCAAACCAATACGAACAAGGGTTTGTTTATCTCCATTTGTTTAAATTAGCCGAACACATAAATAGGTAAACGAACGAGTTTTCATGTTTATATTCGTTTATTTAACAAATTAACTTGTTCATGTTCGTTTGCTTATATTTATGAACATGCTAAATGAACATAAACGAAAGAAGATAAAAAAAACAAAACTAAAATATATACAAACATAAAAAACCATATAATATATAGTAATATAATAAAAAAAATTGAACATAAATAAACTTAAACAAACGAACATAAATGAACGTAAACGAACAATATAAATGATTGTTCACGAATATAAATAAATGAACGAGATCATTTTTTATATTCGTTCGTTTAACTAAACAAACGAGAATTTGTGTCCATGTTCGTTCATTTAATAAGTTTGTGCCGAACGGTTTCATGTACTGCTAGTTGTACGTTCAATTCGTTTACAACCTTTTCACATCACTACTACAACCCCAAAACAAAAATAAAGGAGGTGGGTGTGTGCTTTGGGCATGTCATGCGAAACTACACATTGCCACACATTGTGGCTCCACCTCAGCAACATGTTGGAGGTGGGTTAATGTGTATGTTGTGGTGGGTGCTAAATCGTCACCAAGCCTTTTAGACAATTATGTTCTTCTATGGTCAAATAAAAATGATCTAACATTTTTTTTTTATTAAAAATTGTATTTTGTATTTTGTGTAAGAGAAATATTATACATTTATGTATTTAGACTATACATAGTGTTAACATGTATTTCAAGAGAAAATAAGACAATAACGTTTTATAATTAATAACTAAGAAGAGAAAATATGTTTTTATTTTTTGTATTTTAGTATTTTTTACCATTATTTCATCAGTAAAATTTCATCAACTGTAAAATTGACACACAAAAAAATAAATAAATAAATAAATAAATAAACTATTAATTAAAAACAATATAAAAAGAAATAATTTTAAAATATCACAGAAACTACATGATGATGAGGTATTTATACAAGTAAGGTTACATCATACCATTACGCATACGTTGGACTAAAATTACAAAGTTACGTGTTGCTACTTGGCTACTTGCTAGTACCAAAACGTTACACCTTTCTTGAATTAGTTTTGTGAACAACTACTTTCATGTTTCCTGAAACAAATATTGTAATATAATAGAGGGTTAAGTTCGAAGATGGATAATAAATTATGCTTTTATTTTAATGGTATACTCTTATAAAAACGTTTAAGTTACTTGTCTTGTGTAGCTATTTTTTGAACTCAATAGTGATTGTTAATTGAACATTTCATAATTGTTAAACTTATTCATAAAATTAAGGCTTAGTTGGTATTTTATAGACTAATAGTTGAAAAATATAGTTTTTTATTTGTTATATCAATGTTTGATAAAAATAATTAAAATATTTTCAAATGTAAAAATCGTGTAAAAAGACAATTATTTAAAATACATACATATATATTACACAATTATTTAAAATACATACATATATATAATATATGTGTAAAAACAATCACAGAAATTAATTAAAAAACCGAAAAGCTTTTTCTTAAAATGTGAAATTATTTTTAAATTTTAAGCTTTTTATTTGAAGTAAATGATAAAAAGATCGTAGTTTCGATTTAATTTTTTTTTTAATCGAGATTTTTTTTGTTACAAGTTAAAAAATAGAAGCTTTGTTGTCAAACACACCATATACAGTCTTAATTTTTTTTTTTTTTTTTTAAATTAATTGCAACTGTGAAAATGAATTACACTAAGCGAAACCTCTATTATACATTCGTTGTTCTATCAAAATTATAGCCTCCAGCATCAATTGGAACAAAATTTGAAGGGAGAAAGAGAAAGAAAAATAAAAATAATGTAAACCGAATTTTTTAGAAAACCTAAAAAAGAAAAAACTCAAACTTGATCAAGATGATCAGAGACGCCGATGGGTGGAGCAGGCTTTAAAAGGTAGGTGGGGTTAATATCTCCGGGCATAACTATGACGATTTTCGGCTCCATTTCCGGCGACAACTCCATACGAAACTCCGGCGTTGATGTCTTTTCTTGATCACCGGTGCCGTTTTCCGACGAGTTTGAAGAAGAATATGGTCTCTTGTAAGAGCACACTAAGATGATCAATGCACACGCTATTAGGATTAGCATCAAAGCCAAACCTCCGAACAGGTATGGTATTGGAGAGCTCCACCGGAATCCGGTGGCGGCTGAAGTGGCCGACACGGCGTAGGTGGTGGTGTTTGTTGGTGGTGTCATTTTGAGTTTGGAGTTTTTTTTTTTTTTTTTTATATTTTTTTCTTTTTTCGCTTTGTTTTTGAGTGCTATTAGAAGATTGAATTATGTTTGTATTTATACCAAGAGAAGAAGTGCTGTAGAAACCAACATAGCAACAGTGCATGGATTGGGATCAAGTGAGAAATGACTAATTTGCCCCTACACTCTATTGATTGAAATTTGAAAGGAAGGAATTTTTTTCTTCTTTTTCTTTTCTTTTGCTTTACGATTTCTTTGCTTTGCTCATAAAGCACTACTTTGGGATGTTGATTCATAATTTCAGCTTACATTATGCCATAATTTGCTTTCACATTTTAACCATGAATATCTGGTTTGAGGTTATAAATTTTTGAGTTACTCACTCAGGGACAAATATGTCTTTTGAGTCGATATGTATGTAGATATATTCTAAATTTTCTAATAGTGTAAAAATTATATATATATATATATATATATATATATATATATATATATATATATATATATATATATATATATATATATCAAAATGGTTCAAAACATATAAAGTATGGGTCAAGCAAGTTAATTAGGTTGATTGTGAACGCTTTTTGTTTGAATTTCTTTATAAATAATTAGTAGTTAAAACGATTGTAAAATTATATTTTTGTAATTATAATTTGAAACTAAAAAAAGGTATTAACATGTCATGGATTTAAAATACTAGTTGGGATCCTTTTCTTTTTAGTTAAATTTATTTATTTCCATGACCAATTAAAAATAATATTGAATAAAACTTGGGTTCCTAGGCTCTTTGATATGTTTTTTATTGAGACTAAAAAAAGATTGTGCTCCATTATATTTAGATTATTTGATATCACATTTCGAAACATATTGATTTGATTGAGACTCCTTTGATGTTAAGTCTTCTTCAATTAGATTCAGAGTTGTGTTTAACCTAATTAGACATTCTTTCAATTGAATCTAATTCAATCAATAACTATCAAACAAAACTCTATACAAGTATATTATTCAAAATTAAAGTATCTATAATGATTAATGCATAGATAAAAAATGGTTTTGTAATTAGAGTCTACCCAAATAAAAAATGCAACATGCACACCATTAGGTTTCGATATTACTCGTTTTAGTCTGGCTCACTTTATATTTTGGAAAAACTTTTGTAAAGTATATAGAAAGACTAAAATTAAATTTAAATGAATTAAGAAAGAAACATATACGATTATTAGGTAACGTCACCATAAATTATGATTTATAGCAAGAAGTAAACAAATGAAAATAAGAAATAGACCGATTGTGAAGTTGTACGTAAGGGACCCACGTTATCGTATAGCTTGGGTACAAGTATCTATGTGTTTCCAAATTTGCCCATAAGCCCCAAAACTAACTCACTTGTCACTTTCCCACTTTACTTTTCAGAGAACATGCCATATCTTTAAAATATTTTTATAAATGCACAAAAAATGAAGTAATCCTTTGTAAGAGCATTTTTTTTAGATTATCTTTCATTCAACTTTATTAAACAAGATATTATCAATTATAAATTACCTTCAATTACTAGTCATTTTAAAAGCTTTTTATAAAATTAAATAATTACTTTTATCTTTGTAAAGTATTTTATAAAGTTATTCATATAATTTGTTGATTTTAAATAATAGAGGTTTTTTAGCATACAACAACACCAACAATGTGCCCATACACAATCTAGGTGGAGTGAACATTGCTACTTGTTATCACAAATAATGAATCATTAGTAACTACTAAACACATCAAAAGTTAATCACCATTAGTTATAAATCCTTTATTTTTGTTAATAAAGAGAGTGATAGTTTGTATAGCTATAAATTCATTATCCGTTAGTTAAAATGGTAACTTGAGTAACCGTGAAACTCTTGTCATCATTATTAAGTTTAATGGTAGCTTAAGTAGATATAAGTCGTTACACAGAGTACCCAACACGCACAAATAGACACATTGATGCAAACTATGCAACACACAAAGCTGTATACATGTGTCTCAATTGTTTAACAATAATTGAAGAGAATTGTACTCGAGAATTAAGAACAAAAAGTATGATTTTAGTAATTGAAGAGTAAGAACCCAAAGAGTAAATATTAATCAGATCTTATATTGATGAAGACTGATTACAGAGATAAGCAGAAAGGTTTTTCAAAGTTATCTGAAAAGTACCTTCTACTTCTAACCTCAGTCCCTATTTATAGGGAACATGAGTGTACAAAAAATATACTAAGTCTAAACATTACACTTCGCATAAAATATGACTTAGTAAAATAACATAAAATACGAAACACTACAAAACACTATATTCGACTTTTACAATTTTACATCTACAATGTCCCCCTTTGTAAACAGTCGAAGCTATTCAATTTACAAGCTTTTGAACAGCAGAGTGAATTGTCTTTCGCACTTCTCCATACCAGGAGATCACCTTCTTGAGATCCTTCTTGTCTCCTTCATTGTTCTTCTTGCAATTGTTCATACGAACCATGAAGTGCGTATATTGCGAAGAATTATACCTTTCCACTCCTGAGACTTTAAACAAAAATTTCTTAGGATTCCCTTTCGTATCTCTCCCTGAAAACACCATTCTAAAAGGTTTTAGACAAATTTCCCCAACACTATATTTTGACAGTGCTGACTGGGATAAAGTTTCTTCCCAAGGAACTTTCACTTCTCTTCCCAACACATTTGCCAATTCATCATCTGTAAGAGCCAAACAATCGAAATAATTGTCGATGAATGTCTTGACATGTGCGAATCCTATCTTGAACACATCAGTCTCAGAGCCTTTTAGCTTATTTTCTTCCATATGCTTCAAAATTAGAGCAACTTGAATCAAATCATTACAGTTCATCAGAGGAAAATCTGCAACTGTGAAGTCATATTGCTTGTTGTCTGCTCGGATAACAAAATATCAAAAATTTTGAAGCATGTCTTCAAACAATATATCTTTCTTGATTGACATCACCTTTTTGATCTTCAATAAAGACCAAACTTCATCTGGATTCTTCCCCAAGACAGCATGAAATCTAATTTTCATGTTTGTATAATCATTGGGATTATCAAATTTCTCACTGATCTTGTATTGAGCATTGATGAAAGCATTTCATTGATTGGAAAATCCAACTGGCAATTGTCTGAATTCGCAATGTCATAACTTTCCTTTGGCTTTTTCTCGAATTCATACATTTCCCTCCCCACAACTTTTGACTCTATAGTTTCGTAAGAGTAAAGCTTCGATGGATCTCCTTTGTTCATTGTGGGAGGATCACTTTCCCTTTGCCTCATGATACTTTGTATCCGCCTCATTCTTTCCATCTCTGCTTCAGCCTCAACTTTCTTCTCATCCTTTGATTTTTCATATAATATTCCTTTTCCTTTTCCCTCCATCTCCGTTTGAGGTTTTGAACTCGAACCTCCTGCGTTTTCTCCAATAACAATTCCTTTGGTAACAGGTCTTGTGGTTATTGTAGTTGAGGAAATTTTTCTCGTAAGCATGGGAAGAGTAGTTTTGAGTTGGGTAGATATAACTTTTCCCACTGTCTTTGCATCCTCCTCTTTACTTAAGCTTTTCTCTCCCCCTTGCACCCCTGTGAAAACAGGTGGGGCACCTCTTGGAAGTAAAGAGGTAAAACTAGCAAGTGGAGCAAGAGCTTTCTGAATTGCTTGTTCTAAAGTGTTAAATTTTAGAGACAAGAACTCAGGAGTAAGAACTTGTGTTGATGAAGATTGCGAAAGTAGCATTTTAAGCTCTGTCACCAACTGAATCAGTTGATCAAACCGCTCTGTTGTTTGTTTGTTTATTTTAAGCTCTTCAATCTGCTTTTGAACATCAACATTATGATTTTGAATTTCCTGAAGCTCCTTCGCAAGATCAGTTTTCAACTCTTGAAGTTTGTAGTTGACATCCTCCCTAACTTTCTTCATATTTTGTACAAAAAGAACATGACGTTCTTTTGTAACTGTTTTCAAATCTTGGATCACTAAAGAAAAGCTATTCCCTTGAGCTTGAATGTGAAGCTCATTATTCTCATCGGATTGATCAACCTTCTCCATTAAACGTTTCTCAGCACCCTTGAGCATTACATCAACTTCCATGGCTGAGATTGAAGACATCCTGCTAGAATCAACTTGCGACTGAATAATAGCATTCAATTTATGACTCAGGATTTTAAATTGTTTTCCTGTCATAAGCATATGATCGTGAATATCCTCCTCCTCTGAATCAAAATGAATATCTTCAAATACCCCTCCAAAGACTCCTCCTTCAGTTTCATTTTCAGCTTCAGATTACGAAGGTTGAGGATTTTCTGGTGATTGTGAGGGAAAAAGTGTTGTAAAAGGATTTTGAAGAGGATGATCAAAAATTGATGTGGTGGTGGATAGAGTTGTAGATGGAATTGAAACTATTGGTAAAGAAATGGGTAAGGTGATAGGTAACATGGTTTCAACACTCGTGATAGGTGCCCCCGTATCAGATACGTTAACAACCATATCAAAAATAGGTACCTCCTCAGAAATTGATTTGGTAGTGACTATTTCGAGTGATTCAGTGAGTGGTGTTGTGGTATAAATTTGCGAAGTTGTGATTATGGGTAATGAAACATTTACCGTAGACATCACTGGTGGAGTTTCTGGAAGTACTTCTTCATCAGATGATTCATTTCGAATCACCAGTTTCCGTCTTTTTGTAAGAGTATTTTGCATGTTTTTCGCAACATGTTCAGCTCTTTGTCTTTTCTTTCCTGGAGAAACTGGGGCTGGAATACTACGAATAGTAACTCCTTTATTGCTCACCTCAGCCTTGCAAATTTTCTTCAATACCCCAGACTTGGAAGGTATTATTTCTTGCTTTGATTTGGATGAACCTTCATCTTGAGCTTGTTTTTAAGAAGAACTTTTCGCATCCTTCTTTGTGGATTTCTTCGTCCTTGATGGAGCAGCAACTTCTAATAATACTCCCGTCTGTACTGATTAATCAATTGTTCGCAAATATCTCACCAAGACTTTGTGAGTTGGAGAA